TGTCAAATATAGTATAGCAACGTCGCATGCAGAACAACAAGCTAAAAAAGGATTTGTATCGTTAGTTAGCGGATATTAATCGTGTTTGTCCTTAACGAGTGATATTGGAGGACTTTGCCGCTTCGACGCGCCGCGCGAACTAGTCTTCTTGCTTGTCAACCCATCGTTAACGGGTGATACTCGTAAAATATTTACTGGGCCGCGCTCAGCCTGTCATTCCGCCAAATCTTTATGTTATTTAATGAACATAATAGCCTGGGGTCCTCAGGTAATAAAATATCTGTTCCATATATCGTCGACGAGTCCAACTCGGCGCACGTCTTGGCATAGTAGGTTGTAAACCTACAAAACCCATCGTCGATCGTTGCTCTGCTTCGCAGAACAACGATCTCGATGGGTTGACATCGTCAATCAACGGGTGATACTGGTACAATATTTGTTTCAGAATGCAAAATGTCGACTAGTCTGCAACTCGGCGCGCGTTTTGAATTGTAGGTTATACACTTACAAGTTTGTCCCTATATGCGCTCTTTGGATCCTGCATTATGCATAATTATATTGCGCACGTATACGATCGAGGCACGAGGGAATGTGGAAGCAATCGAGCAAGCGCGACTAACAAAAGCTTGTCATACGTTGTATGACCCGCCGCGCACGAGTGCGCGGCTCCCCCTGTATCGTCGAAACTCTACTATTGTGAAGCGACCGTGGGGGTTGATCATTGTTAATGATCTGGCCCGGCTTCGTAGCTCTTGCCATCGGGCCAACATTTCGAGAAGAAAGCGGCGCGCTACTTCGAAGAAATTTAGACGAGTAACATCCGTCAACCGTGGGGGTCACCACGTGATACAAACAAAAGCTTAGAGCTGAGCAACAGCTAAAATAACATTGTTAGTCAATGCAACAATTGTCGGATGATACTTGTTTAAATGTTTTCAACGTCGCGCGCCTGTCGCAACACTTTCTTGTCTGCGTAGGTATATGTGATATGCAGAGCAAGTTATCAATCAACTGTTATGTCATGTCAGCACATAATTTACATTATAGTTGAAGGGGTTGTAGTATATTATGCATTATTTGCTCTATCCAAAGCCCTTGCACTTGCAGTGCATGACGCGCGCCCACTTCCCGGCGGTAAAAAGGTTTTTTCGACATACGTTGCATACCACTTTTCGCGCGATACGCAACAAGTATCAATGTTTTGTTTACTTGTAAAACAAGCGCGCCCGTAGCGGCGCGAAAGCACATGGTTAGGTAAAATGCATCACATCAAATAATATTTTTGTGGGCCTTCGTTAGATTGATTTGATGCACCATTAGGCCGGCAATAGGTCGAACCAAGCTACGAGGGATTGAAATTGTCCGCGGCCGCGTCAATCCATTAATGAATGATTACTACTACTACGTACTACTACTACATACTATTTCGGAACTACTAAGTCCGATCTACGCCAGCCCTCCATATATTTTTGTCCCACATCAGGGTTTGCAGATCCTCTTTAGAGTTTGTCCCAACTTCCTTCAGTAACATGGACAAATAGCTTTATATTGGTCGACCTTGTTGTGCTCTACCATGCATAGGTTCCCATGAGACTAAATCACTGGCAAGTAGCTCATATCTACTCATATCTATCAGGATGTCTGATGCAGTGTCCCGCCATTTTTAGTCTCCTGCTTCGTAACTTGTTTGACAGTCTTGGTAGACTACCATACAAAGCATTTTTGTGTATGTCCCGTCATCTTGAGCCTTTGTCAGTGTCCAGGTTCCTGATCTGTAGAGTATAGAGTAGTACTAACTCACAAGCCGCAATGAACAATCTAATCTTTATACTCTTTGAGAGTTTGTATTTCCAGATATCCTTCAGTCTATGTAGGGCACCCCATGCTTTTCCCTCTATAACCCTTATCTGTGCTCTCAATCCAGGAGCCGAAGTAGATGAAATCATCCACATTTTCTATGGCTTTCCCAGACCGACTTTGGAGGTTGCTAGATTTAAATTTAAATTTGTTTTCCTAAAATTTGTTTTCCTAGATGGATCCTCCATATTCAATGTCATAACCTTGGTCTTGCCTTTGTTTATGTGAAGCCCCACGCTCGCTGCCGCTGATCGTTAGCCTTGTCCATGTCCTCAGATATAAGTGCTATATCATCTGCAAAGTTTACATCGGTGATGATCTTGGGCCCCACTCTTCTGCTTTTTCTACGTTCGAGAGTGAGTCCAAGTTGCTCCGCATCATTACCTATGGCTTGCCTCATACAGTAGTCGATGACTATTGCTAAAAGGTAGGGTGCTAAGGTATCACCCTGTAACACACCTGCTAAGTGCTAGTATCTCGAACAATTCCGTTTCTCCGTCTGGAGTTAGGACTTTGGCCATTGTCTTCTCATACATGAGCCGTATAAGCTCTACGATTTTGACTGGAATGCTGTAAGCTTCTAGAATCTTGAGCATTTTCCCACAATGTACACTGTCAAAAGCCTTCTTAAAGTCTATAAATATCAGATCAGCTGGCAGTTTCCGACTCTTGACACCCTCTATTAGATGCCTCAGTACCAACTACCAATATCTGCTGGGTCAACTGAATCTGTTCTGGTTTCTGCGCAGAATTGTCTCGATTTCTGGTTTCAACCAGTTCAGGAATGACACGATTTTAAGGTGTGTGTCCAAGGTAAATACCCAGAGGCACATATAAGGTGCGGTAAAAAAATCGAAATTATGCGGTACCGCACCCGACTATAAAAGTTAAATGTGCGGTAAGGTGCGGTAAATTTTTACCAATTATGCGGCAAATGTGCGGCGATTTTTTCGAAATTTGTGCGGGAATTGTGCGGTTTTCTTTTGCATTTTCTCAAGGACTTTGGAAATTCTAAACGTATAACCGCCGCTCTTATCAAAAATAGGTCTGTTTATGTGTTACTGAGGGTGTAGTTTTTTACTAAGACCATGATTGAACCTAATATTGAGATTCAGTTATCTGAGAACAGTGACTTGATCTGGTAGAGATCAGGAAACAGTTATTTGAAGACGCCTCTTGATAGAGTTGATCAGATCCCATGCAGGTATCTTCTGTTTCTTGTGTGGTGAGCTTGATGATGGTTCACTGTCTGTAGCTGTTCGTTTCTTTAGGAAACGGTCCATGACGTTGTGATGTGATATAGAGTAATCAGATGATGTGGTGAAGTTACGAATGATAACTGATACACTATAATCGCAGTACGGTAACGACGAGGGTTCCATAACGGCCTGGATCACGGTCCCGAAAGGGCCTGGGTCACGGTCCCGAAAGGGCCTGGGTAACGGTCCCGAAAGGGCCTGGGTCACGGTCCCGAAAAGGCCTGGGTCACGTGGTAACCAGGTCACGTGGCCTAGGCATGAGTTCCAAAAGGGCCTGGGTCACGGTCCCAAAAGGGCCTGGGTCAGGGTCCCGAAAGGGCCTGGGTCAGGGTCCCGAAAGGGCCTGGGTCAGGGTCCCGAAAGGGCCTGGGTCAGGGTCCCGAAAGGGCCTGGGTCAGGGTCCCGAAAGGGCCTGGGTCAGGGTCCCGAAAGGGCCTGGGTCAGGGTCCCGAAAGGGCCTGGGTCACGTGGTAACTGGGTCACGTGGCCTAGGTATGAGTTCCAAAAGGGCCTGGGTCACGGTCCCGAAAGGGCCTGGGTCAGGGTCCCGAAAGGGCCTGGGTCAGGGTCCCGAAAGGGCCTGGGTCAGGGTCCCGAAAGGGCCTGAGTCACGGTCATAAAAGAGCCCGACTTTTAAAATATTTTGGTTTTTACACTCGAAAATCTTAAAGCGAAAATTTCAAAATTATCCGAAATAACGCGGAAAATTCTAGATTATGCAGAAATATGCAGAAAATTACAAAATGTGCGGAAATGTGCGGAAAACAATAAATTATGCGGAAATGTGCGGAAAACGGTAAATTGTGCGATCCCGCACCCATCGCACCTAATATGTGCCTCTGTAAATACCCCACATACCATGTGTTGAGTCTATGGCAGTGCCTGGCCAATAGGCAGGTCACAAATTGTTTTACCAGACTTTTTAAAACAATAAATGGGGTGATAAGCATTATGTTTCGTTGTTATAAATTTGTTGATTCTGTAAAATGTGCTAAAATTAAATTTTTTTTTGTTAAGCATGGGCTGTTGGAGGAACCAAAATAAAATAAGTATGAACTTGAAACCATGTGAGTTGGAGAATGGTGGTTCACCGACGTCCTGATAAACTGAACGATAACCATGTGGTTGTATAAAAGTTTAAAAATAGCTTTGGTTGATATTTTAATCCTGAAAATCATATCTGGTACCTCTTATCGACCTCGAGAAATTCTATCCATTATTGAAGTCAGTAAGGGATTGAATAAAACTTAAAAGCACTGCTGTGCTGTAATTTGAACTTTTCGAATGTACAATGTATAGATTTGATATTTATGTTCTGCTGGGAAAATCACAGACTTTATTCAAGATATTTTATCACTGATAGCTGTTTTTTCATATAGGTGATGGAGATGCGTTTGATTGTAACCTATTCAGAATGACTATATCTCTTCTTCTGCCAATTCTGTTATGGACTGTGTTTTGCCGATTCCATGTATCTTGTCAGTTGCAAGTGGACCACCATATTTCTTCATATAAGTTGTTCGAATATCTCGAATATGAAAATATAGACTATTTGCAAGAACCTGAGTGGCACGGATTTTGGAATCAGAATTGGAAGGGATATGAGTTTAATCACAACTATTTTAATGACAAAAGAACAATACCAAATCAATGTGACACCTCCAAAGCCAAACTGGACTGTTCAAAAATATCACCTTCAGCCAAACTTGTTGAAATCAACAAAGCATCTATTGTGAATATATCAGCAGATTCCTTCCCTGTATCTAATGCTATTACAGTTTTACGACTTATTTCTTTACCTAAACTGGTCTTCATAGAGGATGGAGTTTTTACCAGGTTGCTCAAGCTAGAAAAGCTTGTTATTGTTGGACTGCGATCAACAGCATGCCACAATTTTACAAGGAAATGGCTTCTTTGGAGCTTGTTGATATGTACGCCAACGAGGTGGTATCAGTACCTGATGAAGCTTTCAAAAATTGTCCTAATTTAAAAAGAGTTAACCTTGGCCAAAATGTCATTTCTTATGTATCACCCTCCGCATTTGCTGGTACAAAGCTTGAGTTGGTTACCTTGCACCACAATGAACTTACACAGGTTCCTGCACTTGAGGGTGTTAAGGACTCCATCAAATACCTAGGGCTTGAACATAACAGCATTTCATCTATGGGTAAATATAGCCTGGAACCTATGACATCACTGATTCATGTTAATATCAGCTATAATCCCATTGATCATTTCGAGCATGATTGTTTTACATCATTACCGAATCTGCGGTTCTTGGAGTTACTTTGGATGGACAATGCGAATGGAGAGTTAGAAATTCCGTTCCACTTCCTGAATGGAGCTAAGAAACTAGAGCACCTCACTTTGGACTACTCTAACAAACTGTCTTTCTCAGGCAGAGCTGTTGAAGTTGTGCCATCATTGCTGGGATTCTCCGCACGTGGCTGTGGAATAAAGGGTCTGGACTTCAGGTCATTTCAGGGAACAAGCAGCCTCACCAGACTATGGCTTGATTGGAACGAAGTGTCAAGTTTTCAGCATGCGATGTTCATACATGGTGACTTTTCTAAACTGGATAAATTGTATCTCAACAACAACCAAATTACGAATATTGAATGGTTTAGTGATGAAGAATTTATAGATCGAACTCAAATCGTTAAAAGATCGATGAAGTTTTTTAATGATACAAGTTTTAATCTAATGCCTGATCTGACAATTCTGTGTCTGGAGGCGAATCGGATAAAACAAATCAAGAATAACACATTCATTGGACTCGGAAATCTGCAGGAACTTTATCTTAGTGATAATATACTTGACGATGATTCGATTGAGGATGATGCTTTCAAGGGATTGGAGAAACTACAAATCTTGATGTTGGAAGACAATGACCTAAAAGCAGTACCAAATGCAGTCTACTCCCTCAGAGGACTAGTCGAACTCAATATGAGGAGGAACAAGTTGACCTTTATATCCAGAGGAGACTTCACTACGCTGGAAAACTTGAGATCCCTCGACTTAGCTCAAAATAAGATCCTTCTCATCGAAAACAAGTCTTTCCCCTCAACGATCACTGATTTACGTCTATCAAATAACGAGTTTGACTTTGTTGATGTGGATATATTTCATGATCTAACAAACCTTCAGAATCTTATGTTGTCATCTAATAGGATCTCCTGCCTGCCTAAAGATATTTTTTCAAAGAATACAGCTTTAGAAAGCATCTACCTTGACAACAATTTCTTAAAATTCATCAATTCTTCCCACTTTTCCAACAGCAAACTATCGGGCAACATAGTCCTCAACGGCAACCAGATCGCTTTCATAGGCGAAGGAAGTTTCTCTTCGGTTAAGATAACAGGGAACGTTTTACTTCACAACAATGAACTCTACGATCTCCCAAGTGACGGTATGTTCCAAAACATGGAGGTCAGGAACCAGATACGTCTCGATAACAACAGACTGACACGCATCAAAACCAACACATTCAGTAACATCAACTGCCGATATTTAAAAATAAATGATAATGACATCACCGAGATAGAAACTAACGCATTTCACCAAATCACAGTATTGAAGGTGCCCGATGGAGCTGATTTGAAGACTTTTGACGTGAGTAACAACCCAATTAGAAAGCTACATCCATATGCTTTTAACAATATAACAGTTGGAAACAAAGCGGTTTTTACTAATGTTAAACCCTTGAAAATGATAACCTCGCTTGCTTTCAACAAGTTTTCTGCTAAGAGTGTGGATTTCACAGATAATGAATTGGACATGATCGAAATGAAAGGATTCAATGATGTTAAAATCTCCGAAGGTCTACGTTTCTGGGATGTGGGTTTAAGGTGGATTGACCGTATGGCTGTGGTTGGTTCAGTAGGTAAACTGTTCTTTCAAAACAACCGAATTGAGCGAATCCCTGAGCGGGCATTGTACCACGTTAAGGGTAATTCTAAGCTGCATCTCCAAAATAACCTAATCGAGGTTATAGAGTCAAACGCTCTTCCGAACAGTAACGACGAGATACTCTTACAGAACAACAGTATCTCGCTACTGACTCAGAACATGTTCGGGAACAACGATAAAACCAAGCTGCTATCTTTAAAATCAAACAAGATTCATCGCTTGGAGTCGAACATATTCACCGAAATGATCCGTCTTGATAGTTTGGATTTGAGAGAAAACAGTCTTGATGAAATACCAAACGACATGTTCAGCGGTCTTAAAGCCTTACAGACACTGGATCTCAAAGATAACGTAATTCGTCACTTTGGAAGTCAGAGTGAGCTATCTCAACTACAGAAGATGAGCTTGGAAAATAACCTTCTCTCAGGAATGGACTCTACAATTGTAGGACCCGGGACCCCAATTAAAGCGCTCCAGTTGAAAAGTAACAGATTGTCTTGTGGATGTGGACTGTTTGAGGCTGTCAGTCCAATACAGGAATCAGTTCAAGACGCTGTCTGCAAAACCCCACTCCATTTAAACGATGTCAAGCTAAACTGGAAAGACAAAGCACACAGCAGATACTTTACCAAGATACCTGTTGATAGTTTTGTTTGTGAACCTGTTGATGTTAGCGTGGAGAAGATTAACGACATTTCTTTCAAGTTATCTTGGAAGCCTCCAGACAGCATGAGGTTTGAGGGGACGGAGATGACTGACTACTGTTTCTACGACAATTGCCCCTCCACCCAGATAAGTTACGATGCTCACTGTGAGAATATTGATGGTGATGTAGTGCTTGAAGAAGCAAGGTTAGCCTCTAATTCGTATGCAGTTCCACATGACATGAAACTTCCATACTACTGTCACGTGACTCTCAATCACCACACAGTTTCTGGTGTTATTCCGAGCGCTTGGAGCCAAGTTGTAGGCTACAAGAAGGATGTGCCCCAACCTGACGATCTGGTTTGTAACGACGGTAATAATTGTTACCTACTATCTGCTGAATACTTCAAAATGAGCCGCGATGTTGGTCTTTTCAACAGCTACGGACCCGATAAAATGGTGAATTCACCAACTTATAGACGGAGCCTAATGCTGAATTATCTGTACAAAGAAGATCCACAAGATCGAGATGACAGCTTTGTGCCTTGGTACGGCCCAATAGATTCACAAAACGTGCGAACCAAGCAGACCCTGGTCCTCCCTAACAAAATACCCAGTGGTTACAAACTGTCTGCTGAACGGTTCTACCCCATCCCAGATAGTTTCGATCAGGCACCACGTGACTGTGACTACAACATCAGACCACTTGGCTTCACCGGCAAGTTCTACTCCTCCCTCATCAGAACAAACACTGAGGTTCTGAGACTGGGTTCCGTTGACGAGGGTTGGGTTTACTTGGGAGGCCATCTCCTGGTGGAGTTGATAAACCCTGAAGATAACACTGAGGATGTTTGTACTGAGATTGTGCTGTTGGAGGAGCATGCCAGGGTGTGGACTGGGATCATGGCTACTGGTGAATGTCAGGTGGGTTTTATTAGTTTCTGTTAGTTTTTAAGCTGCTTATGAAATTATAAGCTAAGGTTTATGCTTGAACAGAAGCCAAAGTATCATTTGATTATCACGATTAAATTTAATTGAACTGATTTTTCTATAAATTCTGATTGCAGACAGACATAAACATCGATTAACCTTGAAGTTGAAGATTCCAAGCAACTGAAATCAATGGAATTGGAGCATGTTTGATTTTATAGTTGTGAAAGCAGGTAACTTCTCAACAATATGATCAAGTTTTCGTTTTGGCTGAATTTTGTCGTCCTCTTTGTGGTTTGATATTAATTATATCTTGTACTCCCTCAAGTTACCAGCTTACTTTTACAGATCGACAAAGGTACAGATGATGGAAAGCTCATCGAAGTTGGGAGCTCCTCCAAACTGGAAATCTTTATCAGTCAACGCCGTAACTGCGAATCAAAGCTCTTTCTTGAAATGCAGAATTTAACCTGATACCCGAGAATGACTACATGAACCAAGAACCAACCTTTGTATTTGAAACCACAGAGGAGAAACCCATCAAAGGTTTTATCGCAACCTTTGACTTACAAAACCCATTTACAACTGAGGAATATACTATTGAGATCCTCAACGACAACAGATATTTTCATTTTGTTGATGATACATTCGACTTTGCACCTGACATCACAAAGAAAGCAGAGGTTGACCCTGGGTACAATATCCCAGCTTACGTTCCCTTTAAACCTGAAACACCACCTGTTCCTCTCCCCGATAAATCTCGCTTCACTGTCACAAATCACAACGCTTTTCTAACCCTGGCCAAGGAACTGGATTTCAGGTACATTGATCAGCTCTACATTGCGTATCGGATAACTGGAACTCTGCCTGGTGGATCTACTCTAACGTCTACTGGTGTGATCCTGATTAAGATTACCGACTACAATGATAACTGGCCACTTCCAACGCAACCGGTCTACACTTGGGATGGTATGATTGATGCTCTGTCAACTAAACCACTGGAAATAACAGCCACCGACGAAGACAAAGAGGAAAACGCAAAGCTGGAATACTTCATAGGAGAAATCATTCGCCCAGACGACGAAGAAGAATACAAGATGAAAGAAGACCTATACTTGTACGAGAAAGTGATGTTAGAATACAAGATAACAGTCCATATAATCGACAAGGGGACCCCTCGTCTAGGAAGAACAACAACCGTTAAAGTAACAGTCAGCGCGTCCTGTGTCATGACCCTTAGTTTTGAGATAGACCAGGAGACGGGAGAGTTCTACGTAAAGGCACCGGGGTACTACATGGCAGCAAGCCATCAGTTCTGTGACCCATGTGAAGCTGGGTATTATTGCTATGGTTACGGTACACGTGCTAAATGTACCACGTGTACCCAGGAGATCATGCAGGCTGACGGTACTTACACGGTTTTTAAAGAAGATCCTGATTGTAGACGGAATAAAACAGAGTTCTCGTTTGGTGGTGCCAGTGACTGTAGTGCGTGTAAGAAAGGTTGGAGATGTGCTGATGGGACTACTACACCAGTATTGGACGAGACAAAGTATGTGGAGGACTGTACAGAGGAGGAGTGCCCTGAAGTGCAGGTGTGCCCAAGTGGTGCAGCATGCAGGAACGGAGTCAAGATAGACTGCTCTCCTGGTACTGCAGGGAACGGCAAGTTCTGCACCTTTTGTCCCCCAGGGAGGTTCTCAAACCAGACCAACTCCGAGAAGTGTGAGTGTTGTCCTGCAGGGTACGAGTCGTCTCACAAGAAGATGAGGTGTGAGCCGTGCGCGTTTAACGAGAGGTCAGGGGGCTGTGAGAAGTGCGCGCCGTGCAGGAGCGCGGAGGAGTGTCCTTGTTTGAAGAGGAACCCTTGTTTTCTGGGGGTACAGTGTGTTAATACACCCAGTGGAGGGGACAACTTCTCTTGTTTGACATGCCCGTATGGAACAGAGGGGGACGGCAAGGTGTGTACTTACTACTTTGTAGTGTAGGAGTGTTTTAGATATTTAGGATTTTAAATTTATTTAGTCCTGGTTCTAATAGCCATGTTTACAATTCACATATTACTGATATTTTCCCAGCTGGTGATGACTAATACTAGGGCACCCCTTGTTCACATATATAATTATATAACAAACAGGTGTATAAAGATATTAACCACACTTATTGCCCAGATGTGTGAGGATATTGACGAGTGTGAGGTAGAGGGAGCCTGTTTTAGGAAGTGTTTGAACAAAGGGGACGGGTACGAGTGTGAACCTTGTCCTGACGGTTATACTGGTAGCACTCCATCAGGTAAAGGAAAAATTAACAATACTGCGTCATGGTCAATAGGATACCAACTATTGGAATGCGTTGGAACCTTTTCTTTCGCTTATCTTTTATTCTATAAACTTTGTCGAATTTGGCAACATCTTACCGGACACATTCCTGAAGGTATTGGAAAAGAGTACGCTGAAAAAAACAAACAGAACTGCACTGACGTGGATGAGTGTCTTAATGACAATGGAAAGTGTGGTGACCATGTCATCTGCATCAACAAAATAGGTAAATCGTAACTGTTAAAATAATCACCTTTTTATCATAGATTTTAAAACTTTCAGATCATTTTAAGATAAGATTTTATAAACCCTCAAAATTTGAAAAGTAGATCAATAGTTAAGCGGTATTCTACATTCCCACATCTCCAAAACCCCCTCCTTTATTCCAGGAGCTGCTCCCGAGTGTGGTGATTGTGGAGAGGGGTACGCTCTAGCTGGAACCAGCTCTGGGATCAAAATCTGCAAAAGATCCAACCCTTGCGAAGAAGGTTGAATTAATTAACGAATTTAGTTCTATAATAATGCTGCAGTTTTTCAACTGTTTAATCTTATGAAACGGATTACGGAGGCTTATCATTCAATTTAATTTTGAACCACATTGGGTGAAGAGAAAGAAACATCCTAACTATTTTATCTGACAGAGGACGCGTGTGCTGCAAATGCTACTTGTACTTACATCAGACCCCTGAAACATGCTTGCTTCTGTAACATCGGATTCGCTGGTAAACCATAATTTGTAAATCATCATTTTTGAAACTCGTTTGAACCCAAATTTCACAGATTCCGCCTCTCTTGGTACTGAACCATAATTATTGAAGGAGCTTGTTCGATCAATCAGTTATCACAACTCCAAATAAAAACCTAACAGACTTATAAAAGTGTATCTTTTGTTTTAGGTGATGGTAGTAGGGGCGGACAGTGTGGGGTGGACAGTGACGCGGATGGTTTCCCTGATAACACCCTTAACTGTGCCGGACCACATTGCAAGAAGGATAACTGCCATAGTATTCCTAATATTTCCCAGGTTGGTAGTTCAAGCCCGTTAGTTTCCGATCTTTCCTTCCCACAGCAACTTGCCGTTAAGGTTTCGGGAAAAATTTGAAGAAATACCGATAATGCTGATTTTGTCGCCATGATACAATATTCCGCTCATGCTCACCATTTTAGAAGTCTTTTTATTATTTTCCCTAAATATCAACAATCTTCACCGAAAATCCCACGAAGATTTGCGTTCTCAAGGGACTGTCCAATTTTGATATTGTTTCTTGGATTGTTGCCAGATTGGTACCCGCACAACTTGTTCTCCTGTACTCTAACTAAAACGAACGTCACGAGTCCTAAAAACAAGAGCTTAAAGCAGAGTTAGCGCGGGGGTTCTTACCTATTTCAGTAGTGTATAATAAGTGTTGTAACTGTTCCTGTTAGAGGGGATAGTTCGGGCGAGGGGCCTTTGAGGTAGCACGGAGCTGCTTTTGGTAAAATTGTGGAGATTTAGTGCACATCTTTGTAAATTTGACGGAAAATTAGTAACCATGGCTGGTTCGTGTGTAGATTACTGTAAATTTTCAAACTGTACAGTTTTATAAATAAAACGTATTGAGATGAGAATGACGTTGCTTTTTAAATCGAAATCAATGAACCAACTTTCATTACCGTCATCATATTCATGCCTGAAACGCAGAGGACTTGTTTATATGATAATGTCTGTTAATTTAAAATATAAAATCCAATTAATGGCGACACCGCTAAGCGCGGCAGTGGGAGTAACTCAATGACCCTGGGACCACGTGCTCTCTGGCGAGTGACATGTGATTGGTCACGTGGTTTTCCTCTTTTGAATCTTGAAGTGCTCTAACTGGATTACTGAAATGAGTTTTTCAGTCGTGAAGATTCCGAATGCCCTCATCACTAATAAATGCAAAAGTTGCAATATCATAGTCAGCGTTGAATTTTTCTACAATAAATATGAATTAGTATCAGGACCTGTGTTTATCTAATAAAATTACTTCACACATATTGATTTACAACTTTTCTAAACATACAAATTGGCCAAACATCCATCGAATTTCGATCACCCATACTGTGATACGAGATCTCAAATCTCTTAAATTGAAACTTACTATAATCTCAATATTTTTTAGTTAACATCTCTATCAGTTTAAAGATGAGTATAAACTAGTATAGCGTTTATAAACTAGTATAGCGTTTATAAACTAGTATAGCGTTTATAAACTAATATAGCGTTTATAAACTAGTATAGCGTTTATAAACTAGTATAGCGTTTATAAACTAGTATAGCGTTTATAAAATAGTATAGCGTTTATAAACTAGTATAGCGTTTATAAACTAGTATAGCGTTTATAAACTAGTATAGCGTTCCAGCCCCTGAGATTCCTGAGATTCCTGAGATCACCTCCACTTGCCATATATTAGGACGCAATGAAACTACCGGACCACGATGTATGGAAACTTGCCACCCCATGGCAACATTAAAATATATCGACTCTGTTACATCGTTTCCTGTTAATATAAAACTCCGTTACAAAATGAACTGGGATCTGGCAATACTACACCTTAGTTCAATAAAATATGATAAAGTAATGTATAACTAGACTTAAGCAAAAGACATTGTTTGATTCTTTCGAGTTAAAAAAAGCGGATATAATACCCTGATCCCTTCTCCAGAAAGATGAGGACCGGGATAACATTGGGGATATAATATATATATATATATTATATATATCTTACTATATATAAAGCGAGACGATATATATATATCTGTGCCATTTTACTGACACCACGGCATCAACTTTAACGAGACTTTCCGCAAAAACTGTAAAAGATATACAACTGGAACTTTTTTGGCTGGGTCAAATGCTTTAATGGCCTTCAAATTAGCATGAAAAAATAAAAAATTGGCCAAGGAATAATGATTTTAGAGCCGAAAATTTGGACCCCCAAGTGGTGTCAAAAACGCCAATTAAATAGGTAATAAATATTTTAGTATTTTGAGTCTTGACACCGTTTAGGGTTATATTATACGGGTTCCTGCTAGTTATTATAATACCCTGATCCCTTCTCCAGAAAGATGAGGACCGGGATAACATTGGGGATGCATGTGACCCGGATATAGACGAAGACGGACTACCCAACAGTCAGGATCTGTGTCCTTATCTGAACATTACCACTTACCAAGATAAGGACGCGGACGGGGTGGGAGATCTGTGCGATAATTGCCCTGACCAGTTAGTTATTGAAGTTTATATTCATACACAATGATAGGTTGATGTTGCAAGCTGGTTTGTTAATGAATGTCACGTGTCAAATCAAACACGCACCAACAACAAAACAACCTCCTCAGTCCTCGCTATTAATCAATCTTTTGATATTTGCATGTTTCGATTTGAAAAGGCCAGCTGTTGTTAATGTGATTAATAATTAATAATCCTATTAACTAAAATATGTTAATTTGTTTCAGATATAATCCTATTAACTAAAATATGTTAATTTGTTTCAGATATAATCCTATTAACTAAAGTATGTTAATTTGTTTCAGATATAATCCTAGTCAACTGAACGCTGACCGTGACGAGTGGGGTGACAAGTGTGACGATGACAAGGATAATGACGGGTTTAAGGACGAGAGAGACAATTGTGATTACATCGCTAACGACCCGGTCAGTCTGAAATAATTAGTCATGATGAGTCATTATTAGTAATATTCATCATCATAAGTTATTATGTGCCCTAAAGAGTCATGTCTAGTATTGTAATGATGTTCCATTAATAACAGTGACTATAACAGTGACTATTCAGCATCTTTTAGTAGGCTCTACTGGTGGTGAATGGTGTTAGTAACATTCCAACTTTTGATTTACAGTTTTTATACTTTAGAGCGGACAATGTTTTATCTACTGTAAATCAAAACAATAAACTAGCGGATTGATTGCTGTATCTGTGATAACATTATGTTTAATTTAAACAAATAAGACAGATACATAAGACAAATGCAAATGCTAATACCATCAAATACAGGAAAAGAAGAATAGTATAGTAAAGTAATAAGGAATCGTTTTAAACACATTTTAAAATTGTAAGCTATGATTACAGAAATCAACTAATTGTACTCATTGATTAAGATAACAATGAATAATTGTCTCTATCCTCGTACCCTCCACCATCACGTCATCACGTGATCGCGTTATCATCAGCACTTAGCACCCAGTTAGCAGACACCGCAAGTTTTAGCGCACTGTTCCAATAGATATTTTGAGTTTGAGTTTCCCTTGCAGTTTCCCTGGTACATTGCTACAAAGCCTCCACAAGTCCCAGGACTCAGAGCCTCCAAGGTATCAAGACATGGTGCAGCTGAAAAGTTGTAATATTAAATACGCGTTAATTAAGGATTAATTAAGGATTAATTAAGGATTAATTAACGATTAATTAGGTGCATCTCCCACCAGTTGTAGTGGGGTAAAATGGGTTATCTGAATTTCTCATAAACTCAGTTTCATATTAAATACATGCAAAACAATCCTACTCCCTATCAAAATGATACACTAAATGCAGCAAAAGCTGAAATTTGACAATTTTAAAGACCCCAATTTCAAATTTCGCGTCTACCTCAGGTGACAATTTGACTGAAAAAGTTGACTAACCTAGCGGGCAGTCACCACACGTTTTTTGACAACTTGGTGTCATGTACTTGTCGCACTTGCCACCCAATGCCAGGTAACCCTCACAAAATTCTGTTCCGACATTATCTGTACATTCTTGTCCTGAAAACATAATTAAACATAATTAACATAATCTTGTTTCAAGGAGATCTCAGGCAATATATGTTAATTTTGAGTGTGTTAATAAGTTTAAATTGGGTTACATTGTAATTGGGTAATGTTTAAAAAATGTAAGGTGTAAACATACCAATGTAATGTCGATATCATGTATTTGTTATAAGTCGATGGAAATTTGGTATTCACAAATTAAAGCAGATTAAAATAAACCACCATTTTGCTTACCATAAGATACAGCCACGAGTAGAAATACTGCCACAAACTTCATCATCATAATTATAGCTTCTTGTAATATCTATTGTGATTGTTATATTGATTTCATGAGTATGAAAGAAAGGTGGTATCGATATGATAATACAGATCGCGGATACACCGGTTAAGAAATTGTTAATATAATCTAAAACAGTATTGCTTTAAGAACTGTGTCCAGAAATATTCGTTGATAAAACTTCTTTTTTTTAATTAAAAAAAATTAAGCTATGGAGAACGACCTCAGTAGCAATACAAATTATAAAAATAACGAAAATAAAGTAAAATAAAAGAAGGAGCGTATGTCTGGGTACACACATAATGATGTTCCAGAGGTTCAAGGAGAACTGGATGTTAGTGAACTGGAGCAGCTCTATAAAAGGGACAGCTGAACTTATAGTCTATAGTCTCAACAAGGAGAACTGGATGTTAGTGAACTGGAGCAGCTCTATAAAAGGGACAGCTGAACTTATAGTCTATAGTCTCAACAAGGAGAACCGGATGTTAGTGAACTGGAGCAGCTCTATAAAAGGGACGGCTGAACTTATAGTCTATAGTCCCAACAAGGAGAACTGGATGTTAGTGAACTGGAGCAGCTCTATAAAAGGGACAGCTGAACTTATAGTCTATAGTCTCAACATTCCTTCCTTGCTCTGTTGTCTATTGAGGGAGCGAAGATAATCTAGAGCGTTCCAGTGTGTTTCATCAATTATCTCAAGTTGAAAGTTTAATTTTAACAGCTTGAAGAAAGAATGTTGAGGTTTCTCCAGAAGAATGCTGGAAAATAAGTAAACTTATTTTACTTACTATTTAATTTAGTGTTTTATCTGAAAAGTTTAATTTTAACAGCTTGAAGATAGAATGCTGGAAACCAAGCAAATGTATAACTAGACGTTGATTTAGATCATCTCGAGTAGAAAATAAGGATTTCCAAATAAATAATAGAAATATATGTGCTCTAGAACTTGTACGTATACGTATTTTGTAATTGTCAGGGTATCTTCAATCATTCGAATGACATTGACATGGACTTAATATCAATTTCACAGATTTGCAATTTTACGTATTAAATTTTAAAAGGGATCAATCCGGGTGAGGCTGCAGGCTGCAGGCTGCAGGCCTGGATGGAATTATTGGCAACTGTTCAGCAGTTCAGTACTCGGACTGGAACAACAATCAAACACAAGAACTGAATGTTGAATGAAAGAATATTGAACAATCACGATTATAGTGGCGGAATTAATTGGTTATTATTATTGGCTTTGTTAAAATCACGCGGTACCTGATTGAGTCCAGTATAATTATTGAGTCTCATGATTTGACGTTTCTTTCACTCAAATGTCTGATTGTTTTATAATAGACTAGCCTATTCAGAAACAGCCAGAAATTTGAATGAAAGAAACATCACATGGTACCACAATAAATAATTTGGAAGGGATGAGGGCGGAAATTTCCGACCTGTTTGTTAGAAAGTTAAACGGTTATGAAACAGATTCTGAGCAGAATATAAGATACAATAATAAAATGATCGATAGATGTGGATTCTCGTGGGAAGGTGATGTACATTTGTTTACTTTAACATGGCGGTTCTGCTCAGCAGGAGACAGAGGTGATGCACATTTGTTTACTTTTAAGGTGGTGCTTCTGAGTAGAGTTGGATTACCCTTTATAAATATGAGTTTTTAAAGGTGGTTTGTATGGGAGTTGTGATGCTCCGATCTGTTTGCTCCTGAGGCCTTATAACTGCTGTGAAGTCTAAGGTAAAGAGTCCTTCGTTAGATGCTGGTTATTGTTAAATGGTAGAAACGTTGAAGAATTTATTAGTTCCTGAGCCTTTGTTCGCTCCGATCCAAGGATCTCATGAAATAAATTTGTAAATTCTCAAGTTAAATAAGGCAGTCCAAAAAATAATTTTACTGTAGTTTGCTTGCTTCAAGGCTCAAGATATCTAGCTATACGGTCAGATGAGTGCAGAGCGCTAACTTGTATCAAGATGTATCTGTAGTCTCACTGTCTCATAGTTTAAGTGTAGTTAAACTGCACCCTATTGTATTATCTGTGATAAATTTAAATTAAATTTAAACTTGTAAGTTAAATAAGGCAGTCCAAAAAAAGAATTGTTCTGTAGTTTGCTTGCTTCTAGGCTCAAGATATCTAGCTATATGGTCAGATGAGTGCAGAGCGCTAACTTGTATCAAGATGTACCTGTAGTCTCATAGTTTAAGTGTAGTTAAACCACACCCTATTGTATTATCTGTGATAAATTTAAATTAAATTTAAACTTGTAAATGCTCAAGTTAAATAAGGCAGTCCAAAAAAAGAATTGTTCTGTAGTTTGCTTGCTTCAAGGCTCAAGATATCTAGCTATACCGTCAGATGAGTGCAGAGCGCTAACTTGTATCAAGATGTATCTGTAGTCTCACTGTCTCATAGTTTAAATGTAGTTAAACTGCACCCTATTGTATTATCTGTGATAAATTTAAATTAAATTTAAACTTGTAAATTCTCAAGTTAAATAAGGCAGTCCAAAAAATAATTTTACTGTAGTTTGCTTGCTTCAAGGCTCAAGATACCTTGCTGTCTTGTATCGAGATGTAACTTAAAGTATGCTAGTTAAACTCTGCTACACCTCAGTAGAGGCGTCCTGTGAAGGAAGATGCAATGTAAAACAGTTGTTAGCAGAGTTGAATTGCTAAAGGACGAATGTACCAATCCAACTTCGCGTAGTGTTTATCAAATACTTTATTATTTAAACAGAGTATTCTCGCTTTTATCGAATATTAGACTGACAGCGAAATTAAATTACTTTCCAATGTTAAAAATTATACTAGCCAGTCTCTAATTATTCATGTTCGGGTTTCACTTTGCTCAAAGTGATGAATCTGAAACTAATCCTTGTAAACATCAATAAACTTTTTCTTTCACAGTCCAAGGATAAAGACAGAGACGGGGTTGGGGACAAGTGTGACAATTGTTGGGAGCGAAATAGGAACCCCGGACAAGAGGACGATGACTGGAATGGTGTAGGTGATATTTGTGATAAGGGTGTTGATTTTGATGGTGATGGTATTGTTGATGATTTTGATTTGTGCCCCGAATTTAGCGACGCCTCTCAGAACAGTAAGATAATTTGTTTACTTTATTTTTTATTCGTTATGTTTTAGTTTGTTAAAAAAAGGCATTCGTTCATCTGTAAAACTGAGAATTGTTAATTGAAAAGTTGTTGGCTTACCTTGTATGTTTGTTGTGATATTTAACAACATGACAAAATTTGACTTCGCTGTGATTTTTCCCCAATAAAAAAAGTATCCTTCCCCAATAAAATAAGTATCCTTCTAACTATAAAGTTCTGTAACAATTGAATAATCAGTAAGCATTTATATATTAGTACCCTCTTGCTAATTGATAAATAAGTAAACAATTACCAGACCGAGATGTGGATTACTCGAGAGTAGAAGCTAGTTACAGACGAAGGGCTGGTGACATTTGTGATAACGATATAGATGATGACGGCTTAGCAAACGATGAGGATCCTTGTCCTTACTTTCAAGGAGATGAGAGTATTTGCAAAGGTATGTACTTACTGACTTTGGTGATGTTTAACTAGATTGACCGGGTCATCTTACGATAAATAGATCACCCGATTTGGATTTCCAATTACATTCAGTGGAGTAACCTGTAGTTTGAGATTTGTCAGGGATTTTTACCGAGAAACATTCCCCGGGCTGCTTGGAAACCGGTGACTTCTTTTAAAGTGCTCATAGAGTTGGATACTATCTCATACTATACCTCATCTCGGAGGAATACTATCAATACCGTCTCATACTGTCTTATGATAAACTTTGTCATTTCAGATGCACTGACTGGTCCTGATGCAGATGGAGACGGCACTCCCGACTACTTAGACACATCGCCCTGGAATGAGAAAATCGGCCAAAACGTTGACTTTTTCTGTAAGAAAATTTTCTTATTCAGGAATTATTCTCGCTAAAGAGATACTACAAGGTAGATAATTGTGAGGTAGATAACAATAAGATTACCGCATTATTTCAGCGATGAGGGCGCCCTGGAAATCATTCGTATTTGACGGGATAAAGCGAGACGAGTCCGACTTTGCCTGGAAGTACGATGACAAAAACGCTAGTTTCTCAAACGAGTTCCATCAGCTCGAAGAGTTTTCAGCTCCGTTTGTGGGAATAACATCGAACAGATCGGATGATGTAGATATTTTCGGGACTTGGTTTGTCGAGGGGTAGGTTACATCTTTACAATGGATATTGTGTGGTTAAATTAACTAGTTTATTTTAAAACACCGGATCATATTAACGCCTTTAACTTTAATCATGATGTCAAAACTTCATGTTTAGAAAATTAAGTGAGATAATTTCAGTTTGATTTTAAATTAACACCTCAGTGATTCACCTGGCAACTACATCGGAATTGTGTTCGGATTCCAAAGTGCTAGAAAATTCTTCTTGGTCGAGTGGAGACAGGACCATAAAGCTTATCTGAATGCAGGTATTCTGTTTGTCTGCATGTCTGCATGTCTGCATGTTTGTCAGTATTTCTCGCATGTTGCTTGTCTGTCTATGTCTTGCTCAGCATCCCATCATCTTATTTCTGTTCGTTTCTCCTACAAAAGTCCTAAAAATGAGATGTAAGCTCTGTTAAGGAACTGCTGGCTGGTCGAACTGAGTCATGGTGTCTTCACACCTGGCCAATGGTCACATACTTTTAGAATCTTCATATTTTGAAATACCAAATCTCGAGTCGTCTATGGTTTATTGGCTCTCTACTCAGAGATATTTCCGCCCAGCGAATTACCGCCTTGCATTTCTATTCGACGAGGGGAATGGTGATAATTATCAATAAGTTCCTTCTCGTAGAGGAGTGATATATTTTCCCATGGCTACTAAGACAATCAGTGAAATTCGTCTGTAAATTTAATTTGGTAAATACTGTCATATTGTTTTTATTGTATTTTTAAAACTAATTATCATCATCATATTTCTATTCAGTTTCAAAGTATGATAAGTGACTTTTGATCAGAATTTGGTCTTGTTGCAGTTTTTCTAAGAGACTTCCGGTCTGCAAAAGAGCTGACAATAAAGATATTGGGTCAACGCATAAAAGTGTTTTTTGATGAATAAAGACTACAAATTATCGAATAACTCACGATTAGTGCTCGTTAAAAGGTCAAGATGATGGGCAACTTCAGGGCTAAGTACTAGTCCCGTTCCAGGAACAAAGTTAGAGGAGAATTTTATCACATACATGTATCCTGTTAATGGCACGGTGTTAAGATTTAATATCTGTGCCGTTCCAGTTACATTAAACAAATGTACAGACACAAATATCTTACAATCTTAACTGTAATGTTTTGACAGTATAATAATAGTGGTCAGTGGAACTAACCAAGAACCACTCTCAGGAGGTTTGCGGGGTCTACACATTAAAGCTATACACACTAGCAAAGATGTGTTAGCATTTGGTGAGAAATATACTGAAATGTTATGGAATACAGGGTCCCAGGATTCACAGAGTTCATTGCTGTGGTATGACAGAAACAAGATACCATGGCAATTTAACCAGGCATACAGATGGTACTTAAAACACAGGTTAGTATCACACACTGTAACACATACTGTAACACACCCTGTAACACACACTGTAACACACACTGTAACACACACTGTAACACACACTGTAACACATACTGTAACACACACTGTAACACACACTGTAACACACGCTTGTAACACACACTGTAACACACACTGTAACACACACTGTAACACACATTGTAACACTGTGTAAGACATTTTATATTCTAACTAATTTTGTAAAATTTCACGAATTTGAGTTAGTAATTTGAATAACCAAATATTTTATTGTTCTGTTAAAATGTCGTGGTGCTAGAAATTTAATAATCTTATCCGAATTCTTTGAAAGATACTGAACGATTCTTTTTATTGGATGATAACAGAAATATCCCAGGCCTAGCGTAAGTATGTTTGAACTGTGGGTGTACGAAGCTGACGAGGTTATCATTCATACTGGACCTATACACTACAACCGAATATTTGGTTTGTTGTTCATACTTCTTTAATCATCATTAATCTTTGTGATAATGAGACAATCCAAATATCAGGTAACAATTTTACTTCAAATTAGATCTTTGATCAGTTTGAAGCTGGCCGGCGAGTCTCAAAATGATCAATAATTTCAAGATACAAACAAAAGTTTTCTCACACCTCAACAGTCACCACTAGATTTACTGAGTATTAGAATATTAGCTGTGAAATTGGGCCCCGTATTGTAAAGTATCGATACAACTTCATACAGGAATTAAAACCCTAAATACCAACCCAGCACAGTTATTGTAATACACTGATACTATAAAATTCAACGAGGTGATAATTGCAGGCGGGAGCATCGGGGTTTACGCCTTCAACCAGCCCAAAACCTACTGGTCCAATATCAAGTATCAGGCTAAACCCAGAGCAAACGGGGCACTCAGTCTCAGTTCAGAACCTTCGTAAGTATTTATCATGCTGAGCAGCCAGGCTTAGCAGTGGCATTGTCAAGATTTTTGTGGTTATTGTTCCTAGATACATTCTTTACACTTCGAGGAATCATAATGTCCCAAATCACAAATGTTGTTTAAGCGCGTATCATCGTAAAAAACGGTATTGTTTTACTTTATGACCACATAAAAAAAGAAGAAGTAAAATACGACAAAAAAACTAAATATCCCACTTCAGGATAATCCCACTTAATTTCACCCTGCCCACCACCCCAACCTCCCTGCTGATCAGTATCTGGTTCACCCTGGATCAGTCTGTTGCGAAACTACAGGACAACGGTCCAAACTGTCAAGCTACCGTTCTCTGCTCTGATAAAAAGAACATCTGTTTTAGGCTCGCGTTCGATTCTACGATTTCTTCTAGAGACAGAGAATACCAACTTTTCTTTAGGTTGGTTTTGGTGATTGTTGATCTTGTGATTGCCTGGTATATAATTAGCATGTCGGATGTCAGGTGACAGCTCATAGTTAAAAAGGCAGCGATTTATAAATTGTTGATGTGAATGTCTTTATCTTAAGCGACACCGCAGGTTTGGAAAGAAAGATAAAACTTTCACACCACGTGTTGAGATTAAAGGATGGACGTATCCTTGGTACGCGTTAGAGATTCGTGCTAAAACGAAATTGATTACAATTTATTATGGGTCAACTTGGTTATAGAGGTTGGTGGAAATATTATGACCTAAGATTGAACAAGCCAACGCTTTTTGAAAACAGTAATTGCTCAAACTATCTCGACTTGTATTTTGCAATATTATCGCATTCAATATTTTGTTCAAGTTAGAATTAAAGCTTTAACACTTATGAGCTTTTTAAATCTGAATTTGATAAAAGTTGGTATAGAGTTGCGAGAAGATTACATTAGTTTAACCTCAAAGTAAGAGGTATTACAACAGATGGCTAACATGTCTAATACATTTCCTATGACAATAATACCGAGCATAATTAGCAATGAGAATTACAACAAGGTTCCTTTATCATAGTTAAGGAGGAGAAAAGATTTAAAACTTTCAAAAAACGTAAAAGCCAACTGGCTTGAAACTATAAATCAGATCTCTTTCAGTACATACTACCAAGTCACACAGTCCGTTTCTATGTAAATGGTGATCAAGAAGCTCAGATTGAGAATGTTGAACCTCCTGACTTTTTAGAAGATATCCTGTATCTGGGAGATAAAGAACTCTCCTCGCCAGTCAAAATAGATGAAGTGTGTTCAAACTTTATGTTATGAGATAACTTCCAATTTTTATCTGATTTGAGTGATAAAGTTCTTCCGGTTTTAAAAGCCACCATTCCTTATTCCTATCACATTACCAATACACCGATCTCTGAACTTATTATTTTCCACAAAGTATCCTTAAACAATCCTCACAAATATCAGGTACGGATAGTGAAAGGAAGACTGGAGACTCCACAAGAACTGGGGACCTTCATCAGTGATCCGAAACTAGAGAAATATAAGGCTCAAGAGAGGTTGCTACTTTGGTACGATATGAACGAACCGACTACTTCAGATACGGTAATTACTGTCAGGTCCCAGACCTGTTACAGACCTGTTACAGACTTTCATTCGTTCATCACATGTAGGTGGTTATTTGGAGCCTGTTGCCGTTATTTACATACTTTCTGTGTGATTCTTGGGGAGTCTGGACCACACAACATTAATAAACAGTCGCATACAAATTTCAGCTGTTTGATAGAAGTGGGAATAATCACCACACAAAGCTAGATAATCCCTCCATACGGCGGTCTTCAAGATCAGAGAGCTTTCTTTACAACTTACAGTACAACAACCTGAGCCAGCGCCGCGCTACCCATCATAGTGCTACACTTGGTAAAGCAGCGTCTGGGGACCTAGCTGAGAATCAAGGTTCTAACTACCAATCTGAATCTGCCACTGAGTTGTTTTCGACTGGTTCAGGGAATTTAACGGGTGGTGTTAGAAAGCGGAGGAAGAGACGAAATGCAAGTATGCACAATGAACTATGAGAATATAGCATGAACAAGGTGTTCTGAACATTGACGGAATAGTTAGAGTAGTTTTAGTTCTGTGATGAGGTGACTTTTTATGGTCGTCCGTTATAGTTATTTAGTTTTAGCTGGTGTTGCATCATAAATAACGCGTGAAAAAAGTCAAGATGTTGTTAATAATTTTGAATGTTAAGGTTCTAGCGACAATGACTAAGAATTCAACATTGTTTCTTACTTATTTGATTTTCAGATTATTTGACTGTAGACATTTTAGATTTATTAAATTTCAAAATTATTTAATTTTTAATATTTTTGTTTTCTTTGGTTTGGGTGAATCATGCTAAGGTGTAAAAATTCGACTGTAACGTTTCCAATCCATTATCAAAATACCTTTTAAACATGTTTTTAGATAGTTCAGGTTGGTTTGACAGGGAATGATTATGAAGTAAAGTAAAGTAAAGTAAAATATATGACATCACATCATCACACATGTCTACAAAATATCATCGCACTATGTGAAAAAGATATATAATACATATTTCCCTACCAACATTAATTATTTATCAAATACAATATTTTAAAAAAATGTATCAAAACATTATCCTGAAAAACGTTATAATGTACAACCTTCGATTTCTCCCTCCAAATGTTCATAAATCAGACTCTATTTCGGTAGAAAGCTGATGTAATTAGCACTGAATCCTTTTTAAAGAAGATTGTTGAGGAATTTGTTCAGATATTTGTGGTACGGTAATTCGTGCAAGAGTTGGAATTTCTGTACCAAACTGTACCAGGGTACAATATTTGGTACCAAGGTATATATCTCGAGATCTGACTATACGATTTTCTTTAAACTTTCCACATAGTTATGTGAGTATATGGTAATAAGACGAATAATCTGCGCAAGTTTGGGCGAATTTCTATCTGCTAAATTTGAGATATAGTCAGATCTCGAGATATATCCCTTGGTACCAAATATTGTACCGATTTGTAGATATGTTCTTGTGTTTGAAGTGATATCTCCAATTTGGCACATAGAAATTCGCCCAAACTTGCACAGATTATCCGTTTTATGGCTATATAACTATCTGGAAAGTTTCAAATAAATCATATATTAGGATCTGGATAAAATCGAAAATATATTCTAAGTTATTTACTGAAACACTAGATTTTCAACCATTTTATTTGGTACAGGTTTGTGGAAAGTCCTTCTGCAGCGCAAATAACATTGAACGATTGTGTAACGCGCGATGACATTCTAATGTCGCAACTTTAGGTTTTTTCATTCACCTCGTCTAAAGCTATTGCTTGGCGCGGCTCTATGTCCGATTTCAGTATTTTAATTACCTTACTCGGGATTATTACGACGGGTTTATTAACGACCGGTTAAAATATGGTTCGGGAAAAATATGGCGAAATTGCTCAAAACCCACCACATTTTCCCGGTCGCCATTTTACCGGTGTCCAACCTTTCAATTTTAGATTCAAAAATTTTGTCTCAGATGTAAATTTCCTTATTAGAGATAAGCAGGTTCAGAAATTTTCGCATTGCTAAAACTTGTGAAACAAGTCGAATTATCAATAATTGTTGAAAGTAGACTCTAGCAAATTCTTTGTTTTGAATTAGCATTACATGTTTACGTGTATCAAATAACCATTATGACTCAATTTGTAGAAAATCTTCGAAAGAATGCATCGTTCACATTGTTTAGAATTATGAATAAATGACTGATGAAACTGATTCATGTTATTGACCGTTTTAATTAATTCGAGTTTTAATTTAACTGTTACTTTTACTTTGAGTCCTATTTCACTATGTAGAGATAGTCAATACCTAAGAAATTAAAAATTGGCCTATTTAAATCAACTTTGACAATAAGGATATATGACAAGAATTGGGCAAAAAGGTGAATTTTTTGCAATTTTAGCCAAATGAAGTCGAAAAACCTACAACAAGTGTCCCAATAGTCTTCTTTAGTGAATATAAGACAACGATTAAAATATGAGCACCCATACCCCTTGGGAACCCTAAAAGCTGAGTCGGCGGGTTTATTAACGACCGGTGAAAATGTGGTTCGGGAAAAATATGGCGAAATTACCCTAAACCCGCCACTTTATCCCGGTCATAATAATCCCGAGTAAGGTAGTCAGTTAATTGATGAACAGGGGGTCCTTTCCGAAACGGTACTTAAGTCAAAAATGGTACTTAAGTAAAAAGTTAAGCAAAAAGTATTTTCGAAATGAGACTTAAGTGCTGGAATTCAAAATCCCGAAGAAAATTGAAAAATCATATTGTCCTATTTTCAGTTTCTGAAGATGAAATTTCCAGGACCGAAATTTTACAGTTTTGACCTAATTTATCAACTGCAACCAACTAGTAGGTTAGCTATAATGACACGATTGAGGTTCTGGAAGTTTGATTTTGGTCGAAGGAAGCTCACTGCACAAAGCTTAACAAAACGAAAATCCATATTAATTTCAAATTACTGTCCCATTTTCAAATATGAAAATTTCTGAACAGAAATTTGACAGATTAGATGGAATTTTTGCCCAAAGACCAATTAGTCAGTTAATTGATGATGGTATTAAACCAAATTGAGGTACTGGAAGTCAAAATCCCGAAGAAAATTGAAAAATCATTGTCCCATTCTCTGTCCCATTTTCAGTTTTTGAAGATGAAATTTCCAGGACCGAAATTTTACAGTTTTGACTTAATTTCGCAACTGCAACCAACTAGTAAGTTAGCTATAGATGGCATATGACACTATTCAGGTTCTGGAATCTGGAAGTTTGATTTCGGTCGAAGGAAGCTCACTGCACAAAACTTAACAAAACGAAAATCCATATTTTCAAATTACTGTCCTATTTTCAAATATGAAAATTTCTGAACAGAAATTTGACAGATTGGATGGAATTTTGGTCCAAAGTAGTTAGTTAATTGATAATGGTATTAAACCAAATTGAGATACTGTACATTTCGGAGGGGTATTTTAGGACTCAGTGGCGGAAGTCACTGCGGCGGTGTACAGTCCGGCGGAGGACGGTACAGCGGTGGCCGGTACGGCGGTACTTTCCAAAAAGGTTGGACGGAACAGCGTAATAACAAGGGCATGAGAACACGTCACGAGGGATCGCATCCAGGAATCTGATCAACCGTAGCCATCCGTAGCCATCCCGCACATGCCGCGGACAAAAGGAAATCGCGGCATGTGCGGGATCGCGATTTTTCCCATTCTTTGCGACAAATTTTATGTATAGTCTTATGTAATATGTATAGCCTGTCAAAAATCTCGGTATCGCGATTTTTGGGCAAAATAATCGCGATTTTCTTTTGTCCCTGGTAGCCAAGAAGAGAGGTTGCTCAGTGAAACGTAGATAATGATAGAGGCAAACAGTATATAAAGCGGATCAAAGTTGAGGAGAGTATCTCATTAGCACTACCATCTCCAGTACTGCAACACTCACAACCACAGTGCCGACATAGCTGACTGCGAAGTCCGAGAAGCCCTCTCCCAAGTCCACGATCTGGCTGCGACTACGATTACTCAGAACCACAGAATCTACCGCTCCGTTACTGGCTCGCTGTCCCAGGCTGCTCGCTTCCTCCTCCCCAGTGAACAAGCGGTGAAGAAGCAAGCTCAGAGAGCCCGCCGGAAGGAGAACCCTGGCAGACCTTGAACTGGAGGTGGACGACTGCATGTCTCTGGCTGGCGAACCTATGCTCCAGTTTGATAACAAAGACGACGAGCGACGAGCTATCATCTTGGGACGGAGAAGAACCTGCGAGCGCTGGAGGACAGCAGCTCTTGGTACGTGGACGCGACCTTCTCCTCTTCTCCTCAGCTCTTCTACCAACTCCTCACCATTCACGCTGAGTTGGTCAACTTTAACGAGGACGCTACCTGGGTCTTCCCTTGCGGCTTGCATCTACATCCTCCTCACCCACAAGGATATCCCATCTACAAGGAAGCCTTCGAAGCCCTCGACAGTCTTGGCAACTTCTCTCCAAGTTACGACGGATCCCACTTCTGGTCAGAAAACCTACACTCCTACCCGGATCTGGATACGCAGACTGATGATCCTTCATTTGTTCTTTTTACCGTCATAATTTTATAAAATAATTTAACATATATCTTGTTAGCTCAAGATATGTGGAAAACCTATTACTTACCATTTGATTCGGATTATTATACTAACACTGCCTACACAATTATAGAAAAATTTCTGAATTCACAAAAATATATCAAGCTGGAATGTCACTTACATACAATTACATTCTTTCTAACATTCCTCAGATATAATAGAAAATGTCAGCTGAACTGTTCAACCAAGGGAAAGTTCGCACTCCCAAACAACAAGATTAAACCCGCACCTCATCACCCCTCTCAACTACACAATGGGAGGGAATGGATGGGATGCCATTTGCTGGAATAGACCTGTCATTACGTTGTGTAGCTGAGTCTATAATCTATATGCCATGTAGATTGTAGCAGTCAACACGCTATTATCTTTAATCCTGTTTAAATACTTGCTTATTTCGGAACTAAAATGGCGAGTCTCTGCATTTGTGGTAATCCTTTTGCAAACAGGTGAGATTTATTATTTAGTCACATGCTCAATCTAGAACTGCTACACATTTTGTATCGACAAATCATAAATTAACCTCAAAAAACTCTTTAAAATGCATTCCAATAAATGGTTTGCTACTAAAATACCCTAACCACTAACTCTTTTCAGTGGTACTGTCATAAGAGGCTCCATCAGTCAAGCCTTGCTCGTGGCCATCATCGTATCCTGCTCCGTAATCCTCTTTCCTCCTGGAGGGATCACTTATGGTTTCAACTTCGTCGATCCTTATCTGTATTCTTACATTGTGTCTATAGATAAGGATCACTCTACAGATAAATCACGCCTGTCATGGGTGTATGCAGCTCAAATTACCGGACAAGGTATTGCAATGATTACAGGAGGACTTTTGGTGCGGAAGTTTTCCACTAGCAACGTTACAATTTGTGCTGTTGCTTTATTTAACTTGAACATCTTTGTCATGTATTATTCGTGTACATCGGTAACGTCGCTCATGGCCAGCTATTTCATGGTAGGGTTCACTTTAGGACTGATAAATGTCATGAGTTTGGTTGTAGGCTTGTCATGGATTGAAAAACAATATCATGGTCTGTTCTCTGGAATTCTTAGTCTGGGCTACGGACTATCTAGCATTTTTATCAGCCCTCTGGAGTCACTCTATGTCAACCCAAACAATTTGGACCCCATCAAGAACCCTATCGATGGCGAGTTAATCTTCAACCAATCTTTCATACTGAACAAAGTTCCAAACATGTTTTTAATGTTTGGTATACTGTCAACATTGCTTCAGTTTCCTTTAAGCTTTCTCCTTGTCAGAAACCCAGACACGAGAAAAAGTGATGGTGCCTCCATAAACGGAGCAACTGTTAAAGACATGTTCCGCAAGCCTGGATTTTATCTACTGTTTCTGATTTTCGCACTGAATAAAGTGCCTTTAGCGTACATACACTCCTATGCTAAGGATTATGGGAAAACCTTTTTGCACGACGACAAAATACTGCTCTCTGTAGTAATAGCACTATCAGGAATATTCAATGCACTGGGACGTCTTTTCTGGGGACACATTCACGACAGATTTGGAGTCAAGGTATCCTTGTTCATGCTCTGCCTTGCTACGGGTGTCAGCATTTTGCTGTCATATCTTAGCAAGTTTCTGACGGGACAAACAACGTGTGCAATTCTATACACCATTGCTGTTTGGGCTTCATACTTCTGTTGCACAGGTAACTATGGCATTATGCCAGCCGCTACCATCCAATTCTTTGGCGAGCAAGATTTCGGAGTGAAATACGGTATGCTATACCTCAGTCAGGCACTTGGTGCTGTTATATCTGCCCTGTACACCTCCTTCATTCCCTTCTGGATGCCACTTGTCTTGACTATTGTCTTCACATCTGTAATCTCGGGACTTCTTTCTCTGATGTTGAGAAAGACAGAGACACTGGACGATCAGGCAAGGGCACTGTTAGATGATAATAGCCCTAACAGATTGTTTCCTATCAGAGACTCCTATCTCAATAGAAAAGATAGAGAAACTCTAGAATTTATAGGACTACAAGATGAAAATGAGTAGTATGCAAAAATTATGAGATGAGGAAATTCAGCTCTGGTGGAAAAATATTCAAAGTCAGATTTTTGGTTTGTGTAGCTAGATTGACAGGACTGTAATTGTTATGTTTAACATTCTTTATTAAGATTTGAAAATTAAATACATATTTGCAATTATAAATTTCTATTTTTTATCTAGATAAAAAGTTAGCAATTTTAGCATGATATTATTTTCTGGTATTATATATTGGTAATTGCAGTTGGAGTTTAAGTTGTTCAAACTATGGTTTTTAGCAATTAATTTTAATCTTGATTTGTAAATATTTTGTACTGGCATTTAATTTACAGGACAGTGCTGGACAGTGTATCAGTTCATGTTCTTAAATCGTTGTTGCCAAGTTTTGTCAATTAAGAGCAATTAAATTTGAAATAATACAAAAAAGATCTAAATATCTTGCATGACCTCAACATTATAAATTTTTCAAAAACTTTTTAGTAACTTTGACTCTTTATTTGCTCTCTTTAGAGCTATAATTTTACATAAATCTATAGAAAACAGGTTTTTATTCGATGTTAAATTCTGATCGTCACGGTGCGAACGGTTAACTCAAATATAATACCCGACTGGGACTACTCTTTAGATTAGTCTGATAATGAAAGCTTTGCCTGATCAACTATAGATACATGTCTGTATTCAACAAAAGACACTACTCGCATTCCTCTAACATTCTTTCTTAGACAAACATTCCCAGATATAGAAAATGTCAGCTAAACTACAAACAAGGGAAACGTCCCTCGCTCGCCTACATGACTAAACCATTACATAATCAACCCCTGGCAAATAGATACAATGGAACAGAAGGAATGGGTTGCCATCTGCCGGAATAGAGCTGCCCTGACAAGCTACGTAGATGTGAAGGAAGCTATTCATTATCTCAAGGCTCAGATCGAGGACCCTCCTGTTGGAGCCAATTTCTCTCCTCTTGACGTGCAGCTGGAGTCTGCTGAGATTGACCAGTTTCAAGACCATGTCGTGCTAGTGCTCATCATTATTACCATTTTATTCCAATTCTATTAATACCGCGAGGGTGACTGGTTTGAAGGGAGAGCTGATTATCAACTTAAAAAACTTAAAGTTTCAGTCGATAAAAAGTTTGCTTGACTACCTAAGGAGACAAAGAGATGGTTTTAACTTGCTATGTAGTGCTCTGAAGGCAGCAAATCAGTCTTTCATAGCTGATATCTTGCTTCAAACCAAAGATAAGATTCCTGAAGTAGGTAGGAACAATTTTTGCTCAAATTTATATTATATTTATTCGACCGTGTACTTTAACTCAGTTTACATAAATGTTGAATCGAGTTACTCCGACAATTTGTAAATAACTCCATTCCTTCTAAAATTTTCCGTTTTCAGATCATGCACCAAGTTTCGACACACCAGACACACGAAGAATGATTCTTTACAAGATCGCAACCAAACTACAATCCGGGAGAAGTTACATCAACTTGTACGGAGAACAGGGTGTGGGTACTTCCTGCTTTCTAGAGCAAATCATACAGTACTTACAAGAAGAATGTTACTTCAGCATCAAGCGGATTGATCTTACTGACACACCACTGATACTCCAACAGAAGTACTTTTCTACTATGAAACAAGAGCTTTTATCCAAAGAAAAGGCAATGAAGAAATTCTGTGTTTTTTGTGTCGATAACTGCAATTCAATCGTCCTCCAACAGAAACCAAAGCATCAGATGCATCAGATGAAATCAGTTGAAACTTGGATAGCAAGTTGTAAGAACAATCTTGGGATAAGCCTCCTTACCACCGCCTCTAACAAGATCGAGGGGCTAGATAACATTGAAGTCAGCAGACAGCCTGTGGAAGAAATGGGTAAAGACATTCACAAAATGTTTTTGAATATTTCTGATGCTGAAATAAGGGACCTTACAGCCGTGTTTCCTGAGGAATGTAATCCTCTGGACTGTTTTCTACTGAGTACTCTTTACATACTCCATCGCAAACAGGTGGATCACGTGGCAACATTCCTCAAAAGACACCCACCCGACACAAGAAATGAACTGTTTGCCGCGGTGTTCAGTAAACTGTCCAGGACGCAGCAGGACATTTTGTTATCAGTATATTCATTGCCGTGCAATGGGAAAGTTAGTCTTCCTTCTATTTATTCGTTATACCACGGATCATCTAGACCTCCAGAAGAGATTCGCATTCAACTCCTGGAAACAGCAATAACTGAACTTGTTGACTTTAATTCGCTTAACAAAAAGGACCATCGGTACTCGATGAAAGACTCCAATTTCTTTTATCACTTCCGAGCGTTTTTCAAGAAGAAACACCCCAAAAGATTGAGAGTGTATTATTTGAGAGGGCTTCGCTATTATCTGGATTATACTATCAAGATTATCCATTATCCAAGATGTTCATTCACTAAACGAATTCAATAAGGTAATTTCAGTAAGGATTATTTTATGAGTAGTGAGTGAATGTTTTATATATTATAGATTCAAGTCGGCTCAACATGCTACGCACAATTTATACAATATTTTGGCTCTAGCTGCTTGATATTTGTTTCATTTTCAACTTATCATTCCAAAGTTAAATATTTGATTATGTTCATTGTTCGAGCTATTGATAGAAAACGATTTAATCGTATTTTATAACTTTACAAAATATGATTGGAACCGATTGCAATTCTAATGAAACTAACACCATTTTCACTCCACCAGACTCAAGCAGCGGAATGGGCGGACACAATACCTCACATCTCCTTTTTTCTGGAACCGACAGAGATCCTTCTAGAACAAGCCATCCTCCGCAAACCACAAATCAACAAAGCTCTTTACAACAAGAGGATATTTGTTATAGAGAAGTTGAGAGACATTACCCTGCACGTTCCCAATGCTACTCTCATTCTGTCGGCACAGAATCTGTTGAATGTTTTCGATAATTATCACTGTAAACATGCTGACATTGTGAGTTATTTAACTTTAAATATTTAATGCGATTTTTAGTATCAAACAGGAAAATAGATTGATAATGATATTCGACCGTTTCCGGTTCAGCAGGGACTGGTACTCGGTTTATTGTCGTTTGTGATTATCACAATGCTGGCAAGCATAACCGTTGCCCTTATATTCACAACACTATTTACCCCCTATACTATTATATCCCTTTATTGTTTTCCAGGCATTAAGACTCATCGAAAGTAGTTCAGCAGGTATATTTAAGTTCAAAACATTCTAATTCAATGTTAAAGATGACAGGAATAAGAAATAGTTATATGGAGGTTTTTAAGAAATTTGCGCAAAATACGCGCCAGCATGTTATACGAAATTAGGTAAAAAACCCAAAATCGCCATATTCAGGTGCCCTAAAAACCATGTTAAAATTGAGTTAGAGATCTGAAACTTTGCAGGGCGTCTAGACCTCGTCCAAATCGACTGTAAAAAAAAAATTCATGTTTCAGGAGTATCGGGAAGTGAGTTTTCTGGAACCCCTGTTTTACAACAGATTGTCGTGAAGGATATATAATATATATGTATTTTACCAAAACCCATAATCATGGGTAGAGTGGACCGCTGTCAGTGTCTCTCTTTCCCAAACAAAAGGAAATGATATTAATTTGATTGACCGTTCTCAAATGCAAAATGATACCGAGAATGAAATCGGTCGCTCGCTTTTCCCATTTTATTGAATCTTCATTGCCGAGTACAGCTGCCTTTGGGTAGTTCTTCTTAATCTATTACAATTGTAAATGAATGGGAAAAGCGAGCGACCGATTTCATTCTCGGTATCATTTTGCATTTGAGAACGGTCAATCAAATTAATATCATTTCCTTTTGTTTGGGAAAGAGAGACACTGACAGCGGTCCACTCTACCCATGATTATGGGTTTTGGTAAAATATCATCTCTTTTTGATTATAATGTCAGGGTACTTTATAAAGTCGAAATATAAACTGATGTCTTCATTAATAAGGAGGAAGTTTCAACAATTTCGAAATTTTTCCTTTAAAAACATTTCCTTGTGTTTAGGGAAGCATATCGGTCGATCACTGACTGAATATGCCACTTAATACTCATTCAAGTAGGCATTAAATTCATATATAATGACATTAAACTGTCGTGGCAAAGCAGAATTTGTTGGAAATCACGAATAAGCAAAATTCTCACCTTTCGCACGTGCAAACTTTGAGCGGACGTTGCGTGCGCATCCAATATTGAATTGCCGTAAATTTTTGCATGTAACTGTTTTATATATAGCTTGATAAGCATGCAAAGTTTCAAAGTATTTCAAGAAGAACTGTAATCACAACGGCACTCTAAAGTTGACAGAAAATGACGAAAACAGCATTTTTCAGTGATTTTAGCGATTTTCTATCAATTTGGGCGTGTCCCCACGTGTGCAACTTTTCGATTTTCAACTTTAAAACTAGCCTAATGCACAATTTATACCTATAGGAAGCAGAGCTGAGCTCCACAACCCAAGGCATGGGCCAACACCAGAGAATACTAAATCGCAAAATTGACGTTTTTATAAAATAATTCTTCAAAAAAGCACAAACTTCAATGACGAATATCTTTATGAAGGAGCAAGCTAGAAAAACTTTCCGGTAGATTTTCAGAATGCTTGAACAATTATCTAAGGTGAAAATTTCCTCAGATTTTGAATAAAATTACTCCTTAATGGTTTAAAATTAATTTTAAAAGTTATTACTTTGTCAAAAATCAAGTTTTAAAAACGGTTAACTTGATGACGTCATCAAGGGGTGTTTATGACGTCAAATAATTTTTTTACACAATGTAAACTAAAGTATAAACAATTATTTGCAAGACCTGTGGTCGGAAATGGCTGTATCTTTTATACTTTTGAATCTATGGACACTTAAATACAGGCTACAATTGACTGGCAAAGCGTCTATCCCTGAATATCACAGTGCTGGCAAGCACGACCGTTGCATTTATTGTGGGTATACTATGTTCCCCATTTACTATTTACCCCCTTTACTATTATACCCCCTTAACTATTATACCCCCTTTGGTAGTGTTTTTAGTTCAAAACATTCTAATATGATGTCAAAGATGACAGGAATAAAAAATAGTTATGTTGAGATTTTTAAGAAATTTGCATAAAA